TGGCTCGATGTGTTGTGTCCTACACTTGGGCAAAGATGATTCGAGTCAAAAGGTCAATACTGTCGCTCATAAATAAGCATTTTTTAAATAAAATTGTGCTTTTGTTAGTCGATGTTTTGATTCATGTAACCTCTTCGTTCGTGTGTGGCGTGCAGCTGTTTTCCTCCCTTATTTTGTTTTAATTAATTATTTCCCAAGGTATATATACACATTAAATTTTACTGCATTACTATCAAAGCATGTTCGTGCACTTTTATGCTTGATATGAAAATTAGTGTATTTATTTTATATTTGTTTCCCATAAATTATTCGTAAAATAAAAAATTATTATAACATAATAACAGTTAACGTATAAATATTTATTTTTTATTTTTATTAAATTTATATATAATTTTTTAAATTTTAAATTATATTACTTTTATATTTTTTTATATATTTTTCGTATTGCATTTAAAATTTATTGTATAACTATGTTGTACCTTGCTCTCCACTTAATATCGGTTAATCTAGTTTATTAATTATTTTTGGCCAAACATAATATATATAAACCATCGAGTTATGTCAATATGTACATGCAAATGAGGATTATATATTTAATTAGTATATATTTAGTTCATGTTGATATTAAGAAAAGTTCAATATAACAATTGTTTTAGTGTACACAAGGGAAAAAGCTCAACGTACAGTTAAATTTTGAACTTTCAATGTAGATGTCTTAGGTTCAAAATTTAGGAATGGAAAGTTGAAATTTATGTGGGATCCATCCAATATATAATATTGCTTTAACTTGTTAAAACTTAATTATTGCAAAGATTTGCCAGTTTAATTTTGAGCTCAAGATGCTAATTTAACAATTTATTATTAGGTCCCTAGCTTAATATGTCATAAAAAGATATAAAAAAAAAGGAAAAAATTTTTGATATAATCATAATTTATTTGTTTAATTAATGAATAAATATTATTTTTAATTATTTATTAAATTTAATAAATAAATAAAAATTAAACTTATTGATAAATTATCTATTGAATTTTTTATTCATTTTCACTCTAATGGAATATAAATAATTTTATAATATTTATGATCAATTCTTTTAATTAATAAATATTTATATTTTAAATTTAATATAAAATAAATAAACAAAAATCAATTTTATTTATAAATAATGTGTAGAACATTTTATCCGTTTAAATCCCATCTCTTGAAACTAAAACATGTTTAAGCTTTTCTTGATTGGTCTCATCCAACAACCAAGTGGAAGACAATATAACAATATTTTTCATATATAAATATCGTTAATGGAAGGTGTTTTTTAAATATAAATATTATTAAAATAATAATATTTTTTTATACAAATATCATTAATGTATTGATATTATTTTATAAAAAAAATTATTATTTTTTATGATATGTGTATAATTAATACTTTGATTAATATTTTTCTTAAATATCATAAATTTTTTAATAACGTTTAAAACATCCTAAACATAAAAAAAAAAAAAATGTTACTAAAACCTAAAACCCTTATACTGACAGGAAAAGAAAAATCTTTCAAAACGAATCCAGGAAAGAGACACAAAGAAACATAGAGAAGGAAAACACGTGTTCCATTGCAAAGGTTTGCGTTCAGAACTAAATGTCGGATTGACAAAAGCAAACTATCTTTTGACACTTATATGCCAAGATGTGATGGGTTATGCAGCCACCGAAAGAACGCGGAAATCCTGCGCATCTTAATTGCTTCTTATCTTCAACATTCAACTCAAAGCAGTTTTTCATTCTTCGTCCTGTTTTTTTCTTTTAAAAAAAGTAGGCCAAGAGCTACACGAACCCTCACGTTATTATGTTTATCTTTTTTATCAGCAATATCAAGTCGATGGGTTAACGTCGGTTGTAATTATTAAATTATAATAAAATTTTAATATAACATATAAATTTTAAAAAATTTTAATATGATATTTAACTCATAAATTTATTAATTAATATAATATTTATTTATAATATTATTAATTTTAAATGATATTATATGATTCAAATAATTTTTTAAATATTATATTAATTAATAAATTTATAATTTAAATATTTAATTAAAATTTTTTAATTTAATATTAAATTAAGTATTTATTTATTTATTTATTTTGAAGAAAAGCTATATATTACTAATCATAATCAGGTGCAGAGTTGACACGCCTTAAAATGTTATAAAACAATCCCTCACCTAAGTCACGTTTGCATCTATATATGGTCCGAACATAAAAAGTTTGGTTTTTTTCAAATAAAATTTTGATTTTAAATTTTATGAATAAAAAAATAAATTTAAAAAAAAATTATTCTTTATAAAATTTAATTTAATTTAATTTTAAATTAATCAAAATTTAAAATAATTATGGGATTATGAAAGATCTCGGAAGAAAACATAGAGCATATATATGCAAGCCCGTGAGCATCTACATTAGAATTTCTTTTAACACGTCTTGCCTGAAAGGAGATAAAAGTACTTCTCATCACTTTGATGTCCACTAGAATATTTCCCACGGCAAAGAAATACTCTGCTGTTTAGTTAATCCCATTAATAACCCGTAGGGCATCTCCTTCAAAAGCCATATTCTTCACCTTCAAACTAAAAGCAAATTCCCCAGCTTTTGCAGCAGCTAGGGTCTCTATTATATTCGGGTCAGTCACATTGGTCACCTTCCTCGAAGTCGCCCCCAGTAGAGTCCCACACCGTTACTCCAATTCCTCCAAAGCTATCGGCTAGGTTAACGGCACCATCGAAGTTAACCTTGGCAAACCCCGCCGGTTATGGCTCCCACTCTACTGTTGTCACGCCACTTCTTGTGGGAGAAGCGGTATTGGCTTATGTGTACTCTCTTTAGATAATTTCAGCTAGTCTCACCGTCGATTCGGGTGTCTGGTGTTCATTCATTTTGACAGACAAGCTCCTGCTATGCCATAGAGCCCAACACAGTACCAGGCCCCGCTCCAGTTCATTAAGGGATGCCTCATTTGCAATCTCGTTGAGTGTCACGGCCAGGCCTTGGTCATGCCATGACTGACCTTGAACTGAGCAGCGGTCGAGACCAAATTGACAGGAAAATAGCTCTAAAAGATGCGGACGTGCATTTGGAGTATTGGAACATGCTACTATCATGTTGTGCGGGTAGTGAGAGCTTTGGATTGCAAGATACATGGCGAAGTTCGAGATGGTGGTCAAGCACCCTCAAGTAAATAGCCTGACGGATGTCATCAGTGAAAGCAGTGTGTGGGCGTTTTGAGCATGGAAATATGTTGGAGATATTGTGTGTGGATGGTCTATGTCCTAAACCCCAAGATATGCAGGTAAGTATGAGATAGTATGCCGGTGCCCTGGGACCAGCTAGCCAGTCAGGTGCTGTAGGTCGAAGTTATGTGCGGGCACCTTCGAGTAGGTTGGTGGAGCAACGAGCAGAATCAAGGAGTAATGATGACCAAGAGGAAGGTCATGAGGCCCTGAGTTAGCCGGAGAAAGGCCATGAGATGGTTGGAGAGAAAAGTGTCTTCATTTCGAATAATCTTATGGTCACTGATAGAAGACTAAAAAAATCTCTTACGCTCTTTATAAGGGATGATTGGTGTTAACTTTCCACCACCCCTTTGGCTAGCGGGCAGACAGGGGTCTGATTAGTCTGAAGCGAGCTACTCCTAAGCACTAGTGGTGTCTAGGTGGGCGAGCATCGTAAGGTCACGAGCGTGACACCATGTTTTCTCGGGTTAAGGCAAACCCGGGGACGATTAGGACCGACGGGTTTCGTATCACGCCTTTGCGTTGAGCCATGGGGTTACACGGTAGATATCATTATGCCCCTCGGTTTCCCTTCCTCGAGCCAGAAGGATCATGTGATGGCGTTTGCGTGGGAAGGATGCCATCGAGCTTGAGGGATAAGCGGGCTAGCAGGTAGGCACGCTGCTAGACCCTTATGGCCAAACGATAGAGGTGTGCTGCAACTAGAGCAGTCCACCCAAGTTCCCTTGCGGGACTAGCATGATGTTGGGTGTCAATCACGCGTGCGAGCGGTCGATACTGATGCTAAAGGCCTAAGCCCTAAGAGTCGAGTCTCGTGGGACGAGATGAGTCTAGAGGCTCCGAGCTGGCTGCTGACCAGCTTGAATGTGGTGCTTGCGTAAACTGGATACGGGAGCTTGCGTATGATACGGGCAAGTATGATGTTGGGTTCTCACCATGTCAAAAAATAATAAAATTAAGAGAATCGGGCTGTGTGCCCCTACAAGGATTCGAGGGTCGACGCGAGAGGTTTTAAGTCTTGCGGCCAGAGCTAGGTGCTCAGGGTCACTGGGTGAATCAGGGGCTGGTGCACAATGAGAGTTAGGTTCCTCTCGGTAGAATTCGAAATGAACAATCCTACGAGGTCAGAACCAAAAAAAGCTCGTGGGTGTGCGGTTTAAAAGATTAAAATTGATCAAAGAAAAAGATGGACTCAATGAAAGTTAACTTTGACTAAGAGTAGTTTTGGTGTCACACGAATGCATAATTTCAAAATGAGGAACGCTCGAACCGTGACACTAAGCCACCCATGCTCGGCTTCCCGGTTAATCCCAGTCATCTGGCTAGAAGTTTGACTAACTTCCATGCCTCTCGGTTCCTTCCACAGTCCTATATGGCGTGCGTCACGGTTTCATCGTGGTTCCCACATCTTGGGCAGGTTGTTTGCGTCTCAATACCCCTCCTTTGAAGCGCACAGGGTTGGCAAGAAACCCCCGTTTAACTTCCGTTCGAATATTTTAATTTTATTACTAACCCGAGTTTTCCACAATTTCGTCCATATTTGTCTTATTGTCTACGTACTATCATCTAGACCAAGCAGCTGGTTCTTCATAATCATATGGTACGCACTTCGAACCGAAAACCTTCCTGTCTTTTCGAAAGCCCAGGTGATCACGTCTGGGCAGTTGTTTGAGCTTAGTAGGTAGAGCATATTAGGTCCACTTCATCAGCAGTAAACACTCACTCCAAGAACCCCCTATTCCATCTTCTAGTTTGGCTTTCAATGAGTTCTGCCACCTTTGCATCCTCTCCTAATATATTCTGAGCATGGTTCCCTAGGAGAAGCAATATATTATTCGTAAGCCAGTTGTCCTTCCAAACTCGTATCATAAGTCGATTTCCAATCCTCCACTCTATTCCGTTTAGCAAGTCCGCCTTTGCCGTCCATATGCTGCGCCACGTGAGGGAAGGAGCCCAAACTAACTTTGCTTTCAAAAAGTTGCCATCAGGAAAATATCTCTTGCTCAGGACTTTGAAAAGCAAAGAGTCTTTGTTTTTGAGTAACTTCCACCCCTGCTTGGCCAACAGTGCCTGATTGAAGCACTCCAGGTGTCTGAACCCCATTCCCCCATCCCGTTTACTCGTACACATCAAACTTAGCCAATGTAAACCTTTGCCATTTTTCCTTGTACTCTACTAGATGTTGCTGATCAAGCTATTTATCTCCTGGCACGAACTTTTCGGCAAGCTCATGCTATATAATGGAATAGCTTGAATAACAGATTTTATAAATATTTCTTTACCTCTCATAGATAGTAGCCGGCTACTTCATAGCTCTAATCGAGATCGGACTCTGTCTTTTAACTCATTAAAAGCTCTGTTTTTGTTCCTTCCAACCATAGTCGATAGGCCTAAGTACTTCTCAGGGTTTAAATTCTTATTGACCCCCAACAGTTGCCGCACCTCCTCATGAGTGCCTACATTAACATTTCTACTAAAGTAAATCAGTGACCTCCAAATTAACCTGTTGGCCAGAACCATTACCATATACCTGTAGTATGCTTCTCACCCTTTTACATTCTTGTTGGTTTGCCCCGAAAAGGAGGAAACTGTTATCTGCGAAGAAGAGATGAGTAATTCTACGGCCATTCCTACTTGCTTTCACCTCACTGAGCCAATTCTCTTGCTGCTATCTCACAAAAAGGGCGGAGAAGCCTTTAGTACATAGTAGAAATAAATAAGGCAAGAGGGGGTCTCCTTGACGTAGTCCCCTATGAGGAGTAAACCTGTCAGTGACCTCACCGTTTACCACCAACGAGTAAGACACGGAATTAACACACCTTATAATAAGATCAGTTCATCGAGAGTGGAAATCGAGCCTGTCTATCATAGCCTCCTAGAATAGCCACTCAACCCTGTCATATGCCTTGCTAATGTCAAGTTTGAGCTCCACGAAACCGTCTTTCCCTCTGCTTTTCGTATTTAATTAGTCAGTCGTCTCATAAGCGATCAACACATTGTCCGTTATCAGCCTCCCAGGAACAAAGGCGCTTTGATTCTCACTGACATATTGAGAGAGCACCCACTTGAATCGGTTCACCAAAACCTTTGCGATAATTTTGTAGATTACATTATAAAGGTTGATAGGCCGAAAAGTAGTTATTTTCTTCGGATTCTTGATCTTGGATATGAGTTCAATGTTGGTTCCATTTACATCTTCCAAAGGGATCGTTCCATTCTAGAAGGCAAAATAGAAAGCAGTAACATCAGTACCCACAATATTCCAGTACTTTTGATAGAATAGAACTGGCATACAGTCCGGGTCCGGTGCTTTAGATGGATGCATCTGTCTGATAGCTTCGTAAACCTCCTCAGCCTTAAACTCTGCCACCAGTTGTGCATTTATTTTTGGCAAGATTTTGCTCTCCACTGCTTCCATAATATCCTCAATTTAACTACGATGTTGCGATCCAAATAACTTCTGGAAATGCTTGACTGCCATGTCTTTAATTCCTTCTTCATTGTCAACCCACACCCCTTCGTCATTTTCGAACCCTTTAATCAGATTATTCCTCCTTCTGGATGATGCTTGCCCATGAAAGTAGAATGTGTTTTTGTCCTTTCATCTGACCCAGTGCTTTCTGTTCTTACTTTATTCCACGCTTTAAGTCCCATTCCCATCTTCCACAGCTTCACATGAAGATTGTCTTTGGCCCACGTCCGTTCTACTATACTCTCTGTATTTGTCTCCTTTGTCTATGCATTTTCAAAAAAGAACCTGCTTTTTTTTCTTCCTTCTACGCCTAGTATCCTTGCATCCTTCACAATCAACGATGATTGGATTGTGGTCAGAGACAGTGGAAACAAGGTTTGTGACCGTGTATAATGGGAACAACTCCATCCACTCTTTGGATTCCAGTCCTCTATCTAATATTTCACTTACCACTGTATTAGGCTCATTTCCCCTTTCCCATGTGTACCACAGCCCACGGTATCCTAGATCTTCTAGCCCGGCTGCTAAGATAGCTTGTCTAAAATCTGCCATTTGCCTGTATAGTCGTACATTCCCACCTTGTTTCTCTGGACTGCACATGATTTCATTGAAATCCCCTAAACATAGCCACGGCTTCGATGATTGATTAGCCAGTCTCTCCATCAAGCTCCACGTGCGATTCCTTTCAGCTGTCCTCAGTTCACCATAGAAGCCAGTAACTCTCCATTCATTCCCATTTTGGCCCACCACCTCCATGTCAACATGATTGTTAGAGAAGCTTACTAGGTTGAGTTGCACGGACCCCTTCCACAGCATCCCAACTCCCTTACATCGGTCTACTGCATCCACTGCAAGCCCAAAAGTCGTATTGCACCATCTTTTTTTTCGGTTTAATGCATTACCTTTTAACAATGTCTCACTTACGAAGACAATGTCAAGATCTTCCCTTTTTACTAGCTTGTGAAGGGCTCGAACTATCCGTGGGTTCCCAAGCCCAAGGCAGTTCTATGTTAGCGTTTTCATTGGTCTCGGAGGGACTGGGACCCAGTCTTTGCCGTGGTGCTATTCTTCTGATGTATACCATCACCACCAACCTTTTCCTTTTTGCCTTGGCTTTTGACCTCCATGGTTTCTCTATCAAAAGCTTTCACTAAGTCCTCTTTGGATTCTACTTCGACGTGAGTGGTTTGCATTGCATGGCACGGGTTACGTGCAAATTTCTTCCAGCTTGGTTTTTTCCCATGCATACTTATCTTCGCTATTTCTTTGCTAGGTGCCTCCACATTTCCCATTTTCTAACTTGTTGCATGTCCTATATTAATTACTTCTTGATCAGTTATCTTATCCGCCACATCAAACTCACCTGCTGTCTTGATCATCTTGGCTTGCTTGTTCCCCTCATGCCCTATTTCAGGTTCCCTAATCACGTCATTTCTCCTGGCTTCACTATCCTTTGCAGCCTTTTGACAAGGTGTGGGAGGCCAACCACATGTCTCTTCTTCATTTTTATTAAACGGCATCGTTTCCCCCACAATGTTCATGTGATTTTGCATGGCTTTCCCCCACGAATATTCTCCTTTTTCCTCGTTGATGCTCATGTTTAAACTCCTAACTATCCCTGAAATTGCGCTCCGTAATCGAAAGGCACCTGGCCTGGGATTCCTCGAAACTTTCTCCGGGATTCTCATCCCCTCTTCGCCCGTTCCCCTCCCATTCGGCCAATCATCTATGTCAATGCTACAATGTTGGTTCCTTTCCTCGTCTGCCACCCTTGTAGTGCGCCACCCCTAAAAATAGTAAAGCCGCCCCTTGCATATCTCCCTTTTAATGGCGATGCCCTGAGCCATTCTCCATACTGATCCTTTATCACCCTTTCATCCACAGCCCATGCTTCCTTATCACAATCAGTGTCAATGTGTCCAATGATGCCATATCTGTAACAAAAATTGGGGAGCCTTTCATAGCCGAACCTTCCAACTATGTCCTGGTCGTTTATTCCTTGGATTATTATTGCTCACCGTAATTGCTTACGGATATCAACAATAACTCTGAATCTTAGAAATCTAGTCCACCCACCACCCACTAGTCCTTCATCTACTTCAAGCAGCTCACTTTCTCTCCTAGGATTGCCTGTGTCCTAGCTTCTCATACCCAAAGGAAGCCGGTAGACTCACTTTGTGGAACATATAATTGGCTTGGCAGAATCTCGCCTTATAGTCCTCCATCATCAGCATATGTTTATCATGTTAGGAAAATGGGGTCCAGTCCCATATAAGTGGTTTTGGACCAAGTAAAGATCATGGGCCTTGATCTTTTATTTTACACAGAGCCATAGCTACTTAATAAAAAAGAGGTGGGATTGTTTTAGGTGTGTGTCGAAAACCAAACAGAAAAAAAAAGAAAAGTCAGGAAAAGCAGAGAGAGAAAAAAGAGAAGGGAGAGTTGGTTGAACGGAAGTCGATCCGTGGTCCGATTGAGTTGGAACCTTGTCATAAGGTTTATGATTCAGAGTTCTACATTCTGAATGGTGAAGATCGGGTTTGAAGCTCTCTAAGAACAAATCCAGGGTGTATTTATTGAGTCACTTATTTAGTGAGATTTCTCCAATTATTTCTCTAGTTGTTGATTAGCTCTAGTTTTGCTAGAGAAGAACTTTGTATAATTATTATTTGATAGTGAAGATTTTTCTGGTGGCCAGTGGTTTTTTTCCTCTACACTGGAGGGTTTTTCACGTAAATCTTGGTATGCTTTATTTTTTCTGCGTATTTGATTATTGATTGTTGTCTATTGCTTCTGTGTTGTTGTGAGTATTGCTTCAGGTGCAACAAGTGGTATCAGAGCAAGGGTTATTTTGAGACATCGATACAGAAGCAACCTATGATAGAAGTAAATTCTGTTTGAGATCATGGAGGGTGATACAAGTTTCATGATAAAATTGACAGCATCGAATTATTCAATTTAGAAGCCTATGATGGAGGATTATCTATACTGTAAAGATTTGTATGAGCCAATATTGGGTGATTCGGCTAAACCAGCATATATGAAAGATGAAAGCTGGAAGAAGCTAGGTAGAAAGACACTGGCTACAATCAAAAAATGGATTGATATCAGCGTGTTCCATCATGTAGCGCAGGAGTCAAATGCTTACATTGTTTGGAAAAAATTGGCAGCATTGTATGAGAGAAAAACAGGTATGAATAAAGTTATGCTTGTTAAAAAGATTGCAACTTTACAGTATAGGGATGGACGATCTGTTACAAAGCACTTGAGTGATTTTCAAGATATATTTAATCGGATGACTACTATGGAGCTTAAGATGGATGATGAAATGAAGGTGTTATTTCTTTTGGGTTCATTGCCAGACAGCTGGAATACTCTAGTTGTGACTGTTCTTAATTCAGCTCTTGATTATAAGGTGACATTGGAGATGGTAAAGGATAGTATGCTTAATAAAGAAGCAAGGCGAAAAGATGTAGACCCTGGGAATCAAGCTCTAGTTACAGAGAACAGGGGTAGAAACATCGACAGAGGTCATGACTCAAAAGACCGTGGTAAGTCTAAATATAGATCCAAGTCTAGAGGTAAAGTGAAGTGTTTCCATTGTGGTAAGACGGGTCATATAAAACAAAACTATAAAATCTTGAAGCAAGAGCGAAAA